CCCCCAGCTCGTTGCCAGCAGCCACCAGCAGCCGCCACTAGCCAGCGGCCGCCAACAGCTGCTAGCCACTGCCGCCAGCCAACAGCAGTCGGCAGCCACCAGCCAGCAGCCACCCGTCACCCGCTAGCCTCCAGCAGTCACCGCTAGCTGCCAGCAGCTGCCAACCAGCAGCTGCCAGCAGCCGCCAACCAGCAGCTGCTAGCAACTGCTAGCTGCTGCTGCCGCCAGCCAGCTCGCCGCTGGCTCGCCACCCAGCAGTAGTCAGCAGCCACCAGCTAGCACTCGCCAGCCAGCAGCCGCTAGCTAGTCGCTGGCCGCAGCCGCCAACCAGCAGCCACCAGCAGCCACTGCCATCTACTGCCTACTGCCGCCCACTGTTGCTCACTACCGCTGCAGCTGCTCGTGCCGCGGCCACTGCCGCCACCACTGTCGCTTGCTGCCGCTGTTAGCTGCCACCATTTGCGGCCTTCTGTTCCTGTCGCCAGCAGCCTGCCGCTCCAATAGCTACTACCGTCCCTACTGCGGTCGTCGTTATCGCCACCTGCCGCTATGGTGTACCAGCCTGCCGCTGTCCTTTGCCTAGAAGCTGAGGGTCACACTGTGGGCTTCTTGGCCTGGCTCGTCACTCTCCGTCGTCAGCTCACGTCCATCCGCCAGGACGGCCAGGCCCTTGTAGCCCACACTTCGGGTAAGTTAGCTGCCCCCTCAGAGTTCGATGCTCCTGCTGCTGACGCGACGACCGAGCTGCAGATTGAGTTCGAGACTGCCCTCGCCACCTTCTATGTCAGGTAGTCCTGTGACGCAGCTGCATAACTGGTGGTTACTAGGGCCCTCCCTCCTGACGAACAGACTCACTTTGAGACGCTCGAGACCGCTAAGAGTATCTGGGACGTCGTTGTCGCTCGCTACTCTACCCAGTCCTCAACCACCCTAGGTCGTCTGGTCTTGCCATTTCTGTTCCCCGACCTAATCTCCTTCTCCACTATCGCAGACCGAGTAGCGCACCTGCATTCCCTTGAGACTCGCTGGCGTGCAGCTTTCCTTGAGGAGCACTGCACCACCCATTTCTCGCCTACCTACATCACCTCGTACCTCCTTACCCCCGTAGAGGTTGGGCCCCATGGCAATCGCTACCCTGAGGATCGAGGGGCTCTTCTGTGAGCCAGGGCGTTGGTGGTCCTGGAGGCGCGGTGACGTGCACGTACCAGGTGTTGTCCGGCCTACATGCAAGCCAGGTCTGCAAGTGTTGCTTCTTCAGAGTCAGCACTGCTCTGTCCATGCTAGAAGACTCCTCTGCCATAGCTGTCGCACACAGCACCACTATACTCCCCTGTCCAGTTGTTCCTTTTGGCTCCCTCATTGGTCTGCACATCCCCTCATTTGCCACGATCTTAGTGGGTGTCAGTCACCTCCAGAACCGAGGCGTCACCTCTACGTTCCCTGGCCGCGAGCGCCACGCGGCTTGCACAGACACAGCCATAGATCTATGGTCACTTTTGAGCGTTACCCATGGTCCGGTCTCTTCACCCTGCACACTGAGTTACCGCCAGTTGCTGCGTCTGCTGAGGTCGCCGCGCCCTGTTCTTGTCGCTCACTAGCCCACCCGATCCTTCTGTGGCACCACTGCTTAAGTCACCCTGCACTCCCGCGTTTTAGGCACATGTCCCAACACTCCCTGCATCGCTCCTCGCCTTGCTTGTCTCTGTAGCGCCACTGTGCACGTCCTACGTCGAGGGCCGCCAGCGTCGCCCCTCACTCCTCCTCATTTCCTCCTACCACAACACCGCTACATACACTGCACATGGACGTTTGGGGCCCTGCCCCGATCCATGGTCTTAGAAGGGAACGCTACTTCCTAGACGCCTTTGACAAATTGTCGTGCTTCACCACAGTGTTCTTGTTCGAGCGGTATTGCCGACGTGCCTACCGTTCTCCTCCCGTTGCTTTTTGCAGTTCGCACCCACTACCGCCTGCCTGTAGTTTGCTTACATTCTGACTGTGGTGGCGAGTTCGCCTCTGACCATCTAGGACAGTTCTGTCGTGCGGAGGGCATCCGCCCGATGTACACACTGCCGGACTCCCCACAGCAGAATGGGGTCGCTGAGAAACGCATCGGCCTAGTCATGGAGGTAGATCGTACCTCCATAATCCACGCCGGTGCACCCCATTTTTTGTGGCCGTTCGCAATGCGCTACACTGCTCACCGGCTTAACTTGTGGCCACGCTCCCAGCGGCCACAATTCTTGCCGATCCTTTTCAGGACCGGGTCTCCTGGTGACGCATCTACATTTCACATCTGGGGCAGCCTTGCTCACGTCCGCACCACCGGCATTGACAAGCTCTCAGCCCGCACCCTTCCTTGTGTCTTCCTGGGGTTTCTGCCTGACGCCCCTGACTGGCTGTTCTACCACCCGTCACACCACCGCATTTACCACTCTCGTGCCGTTACCTTGGACGAGATGCTCCCCATCTACAGGCACTACCCTCACCCCAGCGCTACTGTGCCTCCTCCTCCTCTCTTCCTCGTCCCTGCCCCGCCTGCCGCACCCCTCCCACCTCGCTCGGCCCCGTCTGGTGCCTCTCACTCCACTCCGTTCCCCTCAGTCGGGCCCGTGAGGGAGTCGGTTGACTTTGGAGGCCCAGCTGCTGGGGGCGTGCCTGCTGTCCGTGTGGCGCCTCCCCCAGCCTCGATACCCCAAGCACCTCAGCCGCCTCCCCCCTTGCCTCCGCAGCAGCCGCAGCAGACTCAGCGGCCGCAGCAGCAGCAGCAGCAAGGGGCAATGAGATTGCTGGTTCTGGGGGTGCTGGTGTTGAAGGTGTTGGTGTTGGGGGTGCTGGTGTTGGAGGTGTTGGTGTTGGTGTTGGGGATGCGGGTTCTGGGGGTGGTTCGTGCGAGGGTGCTAGTCCTGGGGGTGCTGTTTTGGGGAGTATCAGTGGTAGCCGAGGTGCAAGTGGAGGTCCCGCAGAGGATAGGGAGCAGCAGCAGCCGCCGCAGCAGCAGCAGTCACAACCGCTGCAGCAGTCGCAACAGTAGGCGCAGTTGCAACAGCAGGAGCAGCAGCATTCTGCTCTTCGTCTCCTTGGTCTTGCCCCCGGTTACCCTGACCGACCGTCTGTCCCTCCTCCGGTGCATGACCCTGTTTATGGTCCGTTGTTCCCTCCCCCCGGCTCCTCTCCGGCTCGCTTTCCTCCGCGCTCACCTCCGTCCCCTGACTTGTCTCCCTTCCCCCCTTTCCCCAATCCCCCGTTCTCCCGCACTGGGTCCGTCGTCCCTTTGGTGCTCATCCAGTCTCTGCTCGTCCTAGTGTCCACCCTATGGTCCTTCGTTCGCCTGCTCCTCCAGTCTCGGTCCTTCTGTTGCCTCTCCAGTCGTCGCTCCCGTCGTCTCCTGCTCCTCCCTCTGACTCTGTTTGCACTGCTAGTCCTACCCTCTCGCGCTTGCTTGCGTCACTTGTCACTGACCCTGCTGCTCCTCCTGAGACCGTCTCTGCGCTTGTCGCTGTTGTCGCTGACTTCGCTGCTAGCCACCGCCTTGACTACGCTGCCTCTCTCGACTCTGGTACTACCCATCCTCCGTCCGTCAGGGGTGCACTTGCCCTTGGCAGTGACATGCTAGAGGACATGCAGTACGAGTTAGCATACCTTGCTGCCGCTGTACCCCATCTCTGCTCCGTGCTTGTATTCCCCGAGGGCGACCTAGACGCTCTCGACATCCCTGTTCCACGCTCCTACGCTGAGGCGGTGTCGGGGCCCTGGGCAGCCTAGTGGATACAGGCCATAGAGGATGAGATGGCATCCTACAGATCCACAGGCAATACGTCGATGCAGTTCCCTGCTTGGGGCGAACGTAGTTGATGGCATGTGGATCTACAGGGTGAAGCGCGCACCTGGAGAGCCGCCAAAGTTCAAAGTGCGTTACGTGGCTGGAGGCTTAGGTCAGCGGGAGGAGGTGGACTTCTTCCAGACCTTCTCCCTGAATCCGAAGATAACTACTCTTCGGGTGCTCCTCCACCTAGCCGCGTAGCGTGACTACAAGCTTCACTCACTCGATTTCTCCACAGCTTTCCTGCAAGGTAATCTGCACAAGCAGATCTACCTCCGGCACCCTCTAGGCTTCTCTGGGTCCACTTGGGACTGAGTGGAGCCTACGCCGCCCTATCTATGGCCTTCATGAGGCACCCCATGAGTGGCACGACACGCTTCGCACCACTCTTGCTGAGCTGCAGTTCTTTCCGTCCTCTACTGACCCCTCTATCCTTTTCCCGCACAGGTCAGACCTCGTTCTACGTCTTAGTGTACGTAGATGATAATTTCTTTGCTACTTCTAACAGCGTCGTAGTGAGCTCACTGAAGGTCGAGTTGCTTAGGAGGCACTCCTGTACAAACTTGGGGGAGCTGAGGCGCTATCTGGGCCTGGGGATCTCTCATGACCGTGCCGCTTGCACGGTCACACTCTCCTAGTCCCATACTGTATGGTGCAGCAGATTCTCCAGAGGTTCTGTCTCCAGTTCTCCTCAGCATAGCCCACCCCTCTGCCTGTAGATCAAAAGCTCTCTGCTCCTGTTCCGGCTGAGCCGATCGAGGCTAGTGATCCTCACGCAGAGCTGGTGGGGTGCCTCATGTACCTGATGACCTGCCTCCTGTCTAGCACCCGCAAACCGAGCACCCCCAGAGCAAGCTGCCTTCTCTGCGCTCAAAACTTTTATGTGCTCAGCCCCTGTCCTTCGTATCACCGATCCTCACCGTCCATTTGAAGTAAACACAGATGCCAGCGACATCGCCATTGGAGCAGTAGTGTTACATGACTTAGGCGAAGGTTTACACCCAATCACGTACGAGTCGCGAAAGCTACACCCGCCTGAGTGAAACTATCCGATACACGACAAGGAGATGCTCGCATTAGTGCACGCATTCAAAGTGTGGTGGTGCTACCTGACGGGTGCGGACGTGGCAGTACGGATAGACCACCGAAGCCTACATTACATCCGCGCACAGCCATTACTCAACCCATGACATATTCGGTGGTTGGATGTCATGGAGTCCAACTTCCATTACACGATCACCTACAAAAAAGGGTCGTCCAACATCCCAGACCCCCTTTCTCGCCCATCCGCCCATCTCAACTCCATAATCCTCGCCCAAACTTCCCCACTATTAACAGGCCTATTTAGCCACGGGTACCTGACGGACGGATTCTTTACGTCGGGTGCGTACAAACCATTCGCAACGACGAAGGGAGTTTATTATGTAAAGACAGGGACTGATGGCATTTGGGTACTAGAGTATAGTCTACTACGGGAGTTACTTTTACAGGAAGCTCACGACCGCACCGTTTGGAGGCACTTCGAAGTGGAGAAAACCCGGTAGCAGTTGACCAGATACTATTTCTGGTCCGACATGCAAGGGGGCGTATAGCGGCACGTGGTTTCGTGTAGAACCTACCAAATTATAAAATCATCGAAGCAGAAGCCAGCTGGACAGTTGCAGCCGATTCCGCCGCCTGAGCGCGCGTGACAGCAGGTGACGACAAATTTCTTCATGGGATTGCCTGCCAAGGACGGTTGTATTGACGCGGTATTTATCGTCATCGATAAGTTTACGAAGATGGCCCACTTCGCCGCCTGCAAGAAAAGCATCTCGGCCGAAGAAACAACCCGCCTCTTCATCTCAATCGTCGTTCGCCTCCACAGAATCCCATCCGCCATCATTTCGGATCGTGACACGAAATTCACCAGTAACTTTTGGCGCAACCTCTGGGAACAGTTTGGCACGCGGCTACATTTCTCCTCCGCCTACCACCCCGAGATTGACGGACAAACTGAACGGGCCAATCAGACAATGGAGCAGCTAATTCGCACCACCTGCGATGACGTGGCTGATTGAGTTGGCGTATAATAACGCACCGTCATCCACTACATGACAGTCACCATTTTACCTGAACTACGGGCAGAACCCTACAGTACCGATCATGCGCAATATCGAAAATCCAATACTACGAGCCCAACAGTTTGCCGAAATATTACAGAATGCAAGGGAGCGAGCAACCGAAGCCATTAAGCGCGCGAATGTAGACTCTAAGCGCAACGCGGATCTACACCAACGAACAGTAACTTACCAAGCTAGAGACTAAGTACTGCTTGATACCCAGAACCTTCGACTGCCCATCGTCCCAAAACTCCGCCCCCACTACTATGGACCATTTACCATTAGCCAGATGATATCTTCCATTACAACCCATCTACTGTTACCGGCCACTGGGAACGTCAGCCCATCATTTTACGTGCCATTACTTCGACCATACATCGCCAACACCAGTAAGCTACCACGTCACTGAGCGAACCTGAACATCCGACCGCTTGCCGAGCCTACAATCGAACTTGCAAAGGTTCTCAATCAACCATCGGATCAAGGATCCTCGAGGGGCTCGTCAGATCAAGAATTGCCCGGTGTTACGGGTCTACCTCCAGTCATGCAATGTGCACGACATTGGCGGTCTTAACTAAGACCGTACCTTGGAGGCGGGAGGGTGTAAGGAAATGGTATTTTCTTATCACGGGTTTTAGTCAGTAAGGCGTTATAACGGGGTTGCCGCGCAGCTCTGCCACGAAATTCAAATCGCGGTCCCAAATGTGGTCGCCTGACGAGCCGCATACATTGTTGCACGCCTTGCTGTTGCATGCATAGATGTGGGCACTCCGTGCCATTTTACGAACCACATGTCGCAGCTCTGCGGAGCCACGACCGTGTGCTCCTAGGCTAGCTATATCCATGCTCCCTACTGTTTGATGTTGCCTCACTTGTATTGTTTCCTCGTTAATCTACCGTATTAGCCCCGATATAAGACCCATGGGTCTTATCACATATCGTTGAGAAATAATCCAAATGGTCCTAGACCCAGGGGCAAGAAAACAGGTTACCACAAGATAAGCGCCTTATAGAAGACCCAGGGTCTTCTATTACTAGGGGGTCTTATATCCGGGCTTTTACGGCATTCGTTTTAGATACTACAGGGCCTAAACTCTCGATGCAAAATGCTTACTTGGTTTCATAACAGTGTTTCTCAAGATGATTATGTGCATGCTGAAAATGAAGTCACTTAGCGCCTACAGGCGCTACAGGCCCCCGCGCCCGTCCTAACGGCCCCCGCGCCCGTCCTAGCCGGCCCCCCCGCCCGTCCTACAGGCCCCCGCGCCCGTCCTACAGGCCCTCGCGCCCATCCTAGCCGGCCCCGCGCCCGTCCTACCAGCCCTCGCGCCCGTCCTAGCCTGCCCCGCGCCCATCCTAGCTGGCCCTTGCGCCCGTACTACCGGCCCCAGCGCCCGCCCTAGGCCCATCCTAGCCGACTCCGCGCCCGTCCTTCCTGGCCCCGCGCCCGTCCTAGCCGGCCCCGCGCCCGCCCTACTGGCCCCCGCGCTTGTCCTGCAACCACCTGCGCGTGCCCGGCCCGTCGACCTCCGGCCCCGTGCTCACCTTTCTGCCGGCCTGCCGCCGATCTGTGTGCGGCCCGCTCTTCGAACCCGCTACTGCCCTGCACCCTCCCTGGTACGGTCCTGCACCGCACTGCACTGCACTGTACCGCACTGCACCGCACTGCACCACACTACACCACACTGCCCCCGCACGGTCCCGCACTGTATTGCACTGCGCCGCCCTGCACTGTTCCTGATGGCGGGGGAGCTTCGCTTCGACGCTGAAGGCCGGCCTCTGGAGTTCGAGGCGTGGCTCGCCGACCTCCGCCGCCATCTCACTGGCCAGCGGCAGGATGGCCACTCGCTTTTGGTACACCTTGACGGTATGCTTCCCTACCCAGACCCCCCTGCTGTGCTGCCAGCTGATCCCACACCTGCTGAGCGTGAGTCTGCTGCGGCCGCTGCCCTTGCTCGCTCTGTCTGGCTTTCCCGTAACGCTATCGCACAGCTTGCCATTAGCAATGCCCTCCCTCTGTCTGAGTGCCCTCGCTTTTGGTCTATCACCACCGCCCAGGCTTTCTTAGATGCTGTTATCCAGCGCTATTCCACCCCGCCTGCTGCCTCGGTGGGTCGCCTGATCCTCCCTCTCCTCTTCCCTGACCTAGCGTTGTTCCCCACGGTTGCTGACCTGGCTGCCCACCTGCGCACGATAGATGAGACCTGGCACGCTGCCTGCACTGACGCACAGCTTAGAGCCCATCAGCCGCCCCTTACCTCTACCCTCTACCTACTTGCCACCCGCCTCCCTGACCGCCTTAACGCTGCTCGTGACTGCTTCCTTAGCATTCACCCCGGTGACTTCACTCTCACAGACTTTGTAGACACCCTGACTGTTATCGAGACCTGCCACCAGTCTATCGTCTAGGCGAGCAGTACTGTGCCGGTCCCCATCTTTCAGGGTTGTGCCCCCGCTCAGTGCACCTTCTCCGATGGCTCTGCCGCTGTGGCTGAGACTGCCGCTGCAGCGCAGTTCCATCCGGGGAAGGGCCGCTGCCCCAAGTCTGGGCGCGGCGGAGGGGGTGGGGGTGCAGGTGGCGGTGGTGGTGGAGTCGGGTCGCCTGGTGGTGGAGCGGATGAGGGGACCCTGCCAGGTCCAGCTGAGCAGCTGCCCCAGCAGCCGCAGCATCAGCAGCAGCCGCAGCAGCCGCCGCCGACGAGGCAGGCGAGTGGCCTCCCGCCCGGGTGGCCTGGCGCTGGTGGTGGTCGTGCGCGTGCTGGTGTGCCGGGTGGCGGTTTGGGAGGCGTGCGCTGTCAGTACCAGCTCCAAACTGGTCCTTGTCGCGGCTTCGTTTGCAGTAAGATCAGTCACACCACTGCATGTTGTTTTTGTCGCCTGGACGACCTGTTTCGTCAGCGCTTCGGCCCGTCGCCCGACCTCCCGGACTGGCACAGTTTGCTTAGTCGTAGAGTTGGACATGGACATGGATGCCATTGTTTCTGCCCTGCATGTGATGTATGCTGATGACTCTAGTGTGCTACCCTCTTATTACTCCTTGTTGCCTAGTGTAGGTGTGCCTAGCTTAGCCTCCCCTGCTGCGCCAGGCGTAGGAGCTCCTGCTTTGATTAGCCTTGGTGCTTCCGCCGTCGCCCAGTCGCCAGACGCCACTGCTGCGCTTTCCTTCACCTTGGACTCTGGCACTTCCCGGTGTTTCTTCCGTGACTCCACTGCTCTGACGCCGCTTCCTGTTCCTGCTGCAGTTTCTCTTGCTGACCCCTCCGGCGGTCCAGTCGTTGCCCGCAGTTCCACCACCCTTCCCTGTTTGGCGGTTCCCTCGGGCTCTCTCAGAGGTCTGCATATCCCCTCGTTCTCGAGGAACCTAGTTGGTGTCGGCTGCCTCCAGGACCTTGCCGTCACCACTACGTTCCCTGGTCACGAGCGGTATGCTGTCTGTACCGAGGCCGCCACTGGTGCCCCCCTGTCCACGTTCCCCCGGGACCTGGTGTCCGGCCTGTTCACCCTGGACACCGTGACCACCACGGCTGGGGTGCTCCCTCAGGTGGTTGCGTCTACCCAGGTTGCTGCTGCCTGCTCCTGTCGGTCCCTCACTCACCCGACTCTCCTTTGGCACCACCGCCTAGGTCACCCTGTGCTCCCGCGTTTGCGTCTCGTCCTTGGTCTCCCCGGTTCGTTCCCCGCTTTTCCCTCCTCCCCCGCCCCACTGTGCACGCCTTGTGTTGAGGGTCGGCTTCGCCGTGCCCCTCAATCCTCCTCGTTTCCCCCCACCGCCGCTGCAGACCCTGCACATGGACGTCTGGGGCCCCGCCCCCGTCCATGGGCCGCGTCGAGAGCGCTACTTTCTCGTGCTTGTCGACGACTTCACTCGCTACACCACAGTCCTTCCCCTGGAGCGGAAGGTCGACGTGCCTGGCGCCCTCATCCCCTGGCTTGTCTCTGCCCGTGTCCACCGAGGTCTCCCTGTCTTGCGTCTTCACTCCGACCGTGGTTGCGAGGTGCCTCAGGTGTCCTTGGTCGCTTCTGTCGTGCGGAGGGCATCACCCAGACGTTCACCCTGCCGGACTCCCCAAAGCAGAATGGGGTCGCTGAGCGACGCATCGGTTTAGTCATGGAGGTGGCTCGCACCTCCATGATCCATGCCGATGCACCCCATTTTCTGTGGCCGTTCGCCGTGCGCTATGCTGCTCACCAACTTAACCTGTGGCCGCACCCCCAGCAGCCGCAAGATTCGCCGACCCTTTTTTGGACCGGGTCTCCTGGTGACGCGTCTGTGTTCCATGCCAGTGTCAGCCCTTCGCCTGCTCGGCCTTCCGTCCCCTGACCCTGCGTCTGTTCCTCTCCTGCCATCTTCTCCTCTTCCTGTCTACGGCCCTGTGTTCCCTCCGCCGGACTCGTCCCCAGCTCGTCTTCCCCCTCGCTCCCCCTTTGTGTCCCCTCCTCTATCTGCTGACCCTACTCATCTGTCTCACGTCTGGTCTCGCCATCCCTCCCACGCTAGTCCTGTCTCCCCTGTCCCGCGCTCTCACCCTATGTTGCTCCGTTCCCACGCGTCTCGTCCTCCCCTTCTACCGTCCCCTCCTCCGTCCTCTCTTACCGTTGCGCCTCCTCCTCTGTCTGACTACCTGCGTGCCGCTCGTCCTCTTGTTCCTTGGGTCCTCGTCTCTCTCGTTACCGACCCATCTGTTCCGGTCTCGTGTCTTGATGCTCTTGTCGCTGCGGTCGCTGACTTCGCCTCTACCCGCCGCCTTGACTACGCCACCGCTCTGGTCTCTGACCCTGCCTGTCCTCCGTCTGTCGGGGGTGCTCCTGCCCTCGACAGTGACGTCTTGAAGGACCGCCAGTTCGAGCTTGCTTTCCTGTCCGAGGCTGCTCCCCATCTCTGTTCCATGCTGCTAGTCCTTGAGGGTGACCCAGACGCTTTCAACATCCTGACCCCTCGCACTTACGCTGAGGCGACCTCGGGACCTTGGGCCTCTCAGTGGATAGCTGCCATGGAGCAGGAGATGGCATCTTGGAGATCCACCAGCACCTACGTCGACGCAGTTCCTCCCCCTGGAGTGAACGTAGTCGATGGCCGCTGGCTCTTCAAGGTGAAGCGCCCTCTTGGAGAGCCGCCTGTGTTCAAGGCGTGTCACTTCTTGAAGATTCCGCAGAGCTTGTTACAGTACTGAAACTTCTATCGTGTCAGCTTCTTCGTGAGAAAATCGGCAGCCATTTCGTTGGTCGAACAGTACACCAATCGCATCCTCCCCTTCTCAACTTCATCTTTGACGAAAAAATAACGAAGCGAAATATGCTTCGTCCTGTTGACGAAACCAGGTTGGTGTGCGATGCGAATTGCACTTTGATTGTCGCACTGTAGGGTAAACTGGGTAGTTGTCGTCAACTTCGCTTCTTCCAATAGTTCCTGTAGGTAAAGTCCTTCGCGTGTTGCTATACAAACAGCAATAAACTCAGCTTCAGCAGAGGAGAGAGCAATCAACTCCTGCTTTGTCGAATTCCAAGAGATAGGCCCGATAGGTTCAAGCCGATAGATGAATCCAGTGCATGACCGTCGATTAGTAGAATCAGCAGCGTGATCGGCGTCGACAAAACCATGTAGGTAGAGTGTTTTACAACCGATAACGTTGTAGGCTAAACCGACGTCAGGTGTCGAGATAAAATACTGAAGCGCCCGGAGAAGATCAAGTTGATGCTCCTCCTTAGGACGGCGTAGGAACTGAGCGAGCTGACTGGCCGCGTAGGCTAGATCAGGACGACAAGTGACAGCGGCGAAGAGTAGACAGCCTAACTGCTGTTGATAGATCTGTAAACCAGTTGAACTTAACAGTGCGGTGTTCGGTTTGTGGTCAGTCGGTAGTGAGCGGTACGGTGTAGAGACTGCAGTAGGTGTGAGGTTGAAGCGGGCAGCGAGTGTTGCTGCATACTTCGAAGCGGTGAGATGAATAGTCGTCGGTGAACAGGTAATGTTCAGACCAAGAAACTGTGAGACTGTTTTAGAGACGGTAAGCTGTAGAGTTTTCTGTAATTTCAGTATGAAGATGTCGGCAAGAGAATCCGTAGTACTGACGAATAGGATGTCATCGACGTAGGCGACGAGTAAAATATAGTTGTTGCCGTCGGTCAGTAGATACATTCCCTGGTCATGCGGTAGTTGACGAAAACCAGCAGTGATCAGTTGTGAGTGGAGATACTGCTGCCAGAGCCGTGGTGCCTGTTTAATGCCGTATAGAGATTTTCGGAGACGGCAAATGCTTGGTGGGTTAGTAGTATAGGAATGCGGGTACTCTACCAGGATAAGTGCGTCGACAGGCGCGTAGAGAAACGCATTTGACATGTCGATTTGTCGAAGTCGGAGATTACAGTAGGCGGTGACACAGAGTAGAATCCGAACGCTTGTATGTCGGCCGACAGGAGCAAATGTTAAATCGTAGTCGATGCCGTAAGTCTGTTCGAACCCGCGGACGACCCATCGCGCCTTGAATTTCTCAAACGACCCATCTGCATTAGTCTTGACGCGGAAAACCCATTTTCCGGTAAGTACCTTCTTCCCTTTTACTTCTGAAGTCGGTATTAAATCCCATGTGCCACGATTCTTGAGTACTGCTAGCTCCTTGTCCATGGCTTCGCGCCATTTTTCTTAGTGAGGACACTTAAGAGCTTGTCGAACGGTTTTCGGTTCAGGTATTTTACTGTCGTTGTACTGTACTGCGACTGCGAACCCCAGTATCTGTAATCCTGTTTCTGTAAAGCGCGGACGTTCTTCGTTTGCACCTGCGAAATTTTCTTCTGGTCCTTCTTCCCCCCCAATTTCGTCAGGTGTAACACGAACTGCTTCGTCGGAGACGACGGGCATCGGCTGCTGTTGGCGATCGTGTTCATAACTGAGATGAACTTCGCGAACATCATCCTGGTCAGCATCTGCAAGAGGAATGAATTCAGGTATGCCAGTTGATGTAACAGGTTCGGGAATGTCTGTTGCGGCAACTTCGGAAGCTTCATAAACATCCTCGTCCTGAACATCAGCTTCGGCTTCGTCGGTTGCAAATGAACGCGAGCCTTCGAACAGCCTGGCAGGATTGGCAGCTGCTGCCTGGTGGGCACGAAAAACGGGCAAGGTGAGTCGTTCATAGAAAAGACAATCACGTGATGGAACGATTTGATTGGAGCGGAGATCCAAAATCTTCCACGCGTGATACTGTTTTTCGATGCCGAGATGTACCCCCCATTTTGCTCGTTCGGAAAAAAATCCGAGTGCTGCGGTGGGAGGGCGAAACTGTACAACACACCCGAAAACTCATAAAAGTTTTGTGCTCCCCACTGTACGTGTCCACTGCAGGTGTGGAGAAGAGAACTCAGGCAGAGACGTTGAAGAAAGAAGATTGTGTAACAGCACGGCGTGGTACATCGCATACGGCCAAAAATGCGGTGGAAGGGCTGCCTGCATCAGCAGAGCATGCATCTTCTCCTGCAGAGTTATGTTCATCCTTTCTGCTACCCCCATCTGTTGGTGTGCATGTGGCAGTGACTGCTTCCGTTTGATGCCGCGTGTCTGAAGGTACTCTGTGAAGGTGTTGCTGGTGTACTCCCTTGCACCATCACTCTGAAATTCTTGCAGTTTTACGCCGGACTCTCGTTCAGCGACAGCAAGCCACGCGAGGAAGACGGAGTGAGCGAGATGCCGCGCGGGTAGGTTTGCTATCCAGACATTGCGTGTAGACGCTTCGATGAAAGTTATCACGTACTTCTCGTCTTTAGGTCCTGCTTCAGATAAGTTGAGTATGTCGCTGTGGACTTTCTGCATCAGTTTATAACGTGTTGAGCCAGGAAAATGACTGGGAAACGGATCGTGCGTAAGGTTGGCAACTGGACAAGTGGTGCAAACCGTCGGACGAGACTGCGGCTTCATCTCCGTGCCATCAGGTAAAAGTAAACTATTTTTATCAAAGAACTGCTGCTCGGATTGAATGATTAAGAATCCCTTGTGATGGATGTCCTAACCGTTGATGCCATATATCTTCTGTGGCTTTGTGTCCTGATGAGCGCAGGTAGAAATCGGCGTTAGTATAAAAAGGAGGAAGAATGAAAGGAGAAAGCGCTGGGGACTTGTCAATTTCTCCTTCGACGAAACGGGTAAGAGGTAACGTGACAGTTGAAGGTGGTGCTGCAGTTGCGAGTACAACTTTTGACACTGCTTCTGTTGATGTCGTGGCAGGTATTTCGGCGACAGCTACTGTTGGACTCGGCTGCTCAGCTACTTCTTCCTGTTCGGCTTCTTCAACAACGTCAGGTTCATCAGCTGCAAGACCACTTATCTCTCCCCAAAGTGGTGCTGGAGTTTCTTCAAAAGCTGCACGGGTATTATAAAACGTTCGCCACGCGGTGGCACTTTCATCGGCGGTATTGAACTCCCAGGTATCCAATGCGGTAAGTACGGCGGCTGCTGTTCGAGAAGCTGTTGGTACAGTAGTTGCTCGAAAGTCAATGTCCACGTGTTGATAATCTGTTTCTTCTGGGTGATCCCAAGGACCAAGCGCAAGCACGCGTTCAGAATCGCCAGAAGTTCCCTGTGCTACGAACTGAAGAACTGACACACCATGTTGAGTGGCGGCACGACCAAGATAAGTATTCGTCGAACTGTGCCAGAGTTGATCCATCGTGTCACAATTGCCCTGTGTGCGGATTTTGTGTGCCAGGAGCTGAGCCGTGGAAAGAAGATTGAAGCCAAGACCAGCGACGATAAGAACATTAGTAACATGAAGTGAGTATCCCGTGTCGATAGATTCGAGCATGACGCTTCCAACTGCTCGTGCCATAATGGTTTGCCCGTTTGCGACTGTTACAGGGATCGGGCGACGAAGTGGACGCTGATTGGTAATGGAGCTTGTTTCTGCTGAGCACATGTGCCAACCGCAGCAACTGTCGAGATACCAGGTATTCGGACCTGAAATTATTCGAGCGAGGTTAGCGTAAACTTGAGGTAAAGGAATACCTTCAGGACTTGTGGTTTCTTCAAGTCGTGTCTCGAAATCTGTTTCTGAAATATCAACTGTTGTAACACAACCAAAGACCCCTTTTCCTGATGTGGCAGATGCGAAGACCGGCGGGCGATGCTGCGACGTTGATGAATTCTGCGACGGTTTCGGCATTTGCTGCTGCTGAGACGTTAACTGCTGCTGTGGCTGTTGTGTCTTCGGTAACTGCTGCGATCGGTGATACGGCTGCGAAGTGCTGCGACGAGTTTGATGACGGTTGCGACAGTTTTGGTAAGTATGTCCTGGTTTCTTACAGAAGTGGCAGAATGGATACTTTGGTGGATGTCGATGCTGTTGTTTTGGATTGGAGTAAAAACTTAAGTGAAGCCCCTTTCTCTGATTTCGTTGTGATTGCAGGTCAAGATCTTGCTGCTCTGCTTGAAGATAAGAAGAATTTTAAGCTTCGGAGAGATTAGGATTCATGCGCAGGAAGGCGTGCGTCTGTCGCCATTCGGGTCCAAGACCAACCAGAAGTACCGTGAGATACATCTCACGAGGGAAGTATCCCCCACTTTTCTCCAATTGATCGCGTAGTGTACGGACGTGGTTGACGTAATCCATTACGTTCTCACTTGTCATTATCCGCACACTTGTTAACTGCAGAAGTATTTTACTCACTGTTATCGTATCCTTTGCCATGTATACCCCTTTCAGGTGGTTCCATGCAGTTTCAGCTGGTGTGAAGCTTGAATGAAATGATCGGACGCTGAGCTGCTCCTTCGGCGACAAGTTCCGTACAAGAACTGTATACGCCCCGAGAGAGGCGTGTAAGAAACTCTGCTGCTCCAGTTGTGTTCCCACGACAGGATATGTAAATTCGCCAGTGAAGAACGGCCATAGCCCAGCGGACTGCGCCAGAAGTTCAAACTCAAAGCTCCAGGAGTAGAAGTCAACACCATTGAAAGGTACGGTTGTCTTGATCTGAGTATTATTAAGTAAATTTGGAGGCTGAAAAACAATGCTTGGCTGTTGCTGTTGTTGCTGTTGCTGTTGCTGTTGTTGCTGCTGTTGTTGCTGTTGCTGTTGCTGTACTGGCTGTGGTTGTTGATACTGCTGTTGTTGTTGCTGAGCAGGGGAACGACCGACGATATAGAAAGGATGCTGAAACTGCTGCGACTGCGGCTGCTGTACCAAAGGTGAGAAAGAGAACGAACCAGTACTTGGAGCTGTAGCTCCACGCATGTAACTTGAGCCGTCAAGGCTCATTCCACTGAACGCAGATGAAATCGATTGCGTTGAAACTGGTGGCTGTACTGACGCTTGTTGATGAGCTGTTGTCTGTGATTGTTGTTGTTGTGCTGCAGGTGCAGTCAATGGAGCACCTGGAGTATTTACAGAAGGCGGATTCTGCTGTTGCATACCGATATTAGCGTAGGCTGGTGGAAAGTGCCCAGAGGCTGAGAGACCAGCGGCGGTAGTGGAGGCATGTGCTCCAGTAGTCCCAGTAACTGATCCAGCAGATGGTGCTGGTGATGAACCAGTCATAGTTGACGGTAGTCTTAATTCCAGATAGCTCTCATACCATGAAATAAATCGTCTGATGCTGTAGAAGACTAAGTATAAAACTGCAAACACGAACACTTGGCAAATCCTCAAGTGTTGGTCCAGGATCTTAGCTGGAATGGTAGACTAGTAAGACAGCGGAAGTCTTGTAAAATGTAATAGTCAAGGTTGAATAACCTGAGTACTTGAACTTGTGGGTAATCAAAGCTAATAATGAAAAGACCTAACAAGTATTTATAGTTCTACGAAAAGTACCTATTCGCTAATGTACCTGTTCGTCACTATCGCGCAATGCGCCCTAGATGATAATGAAGAGGTGCGACTGTTCGCGTGACTGAAACGACTGTCCTATGACGAGCGCTATTTGCTGACGTCATCCTACGGACTTACCTTCTACAATATGATTTAACACTAACTACACCTAATCGACTTACAGAAATGCTAAGTATCAATCATATCACAACAGTACCCAGGTTCTCTAGTCATTCGACTATTTCAATTCTAAGACAACCTAATAACCTAACAAGTTCCTAGATTCTTCGAAGTCTTTTTCTTTACCATCATCAAGGTCATACGGAGGGTACTCTATTCTCCAGTAGTTCCTAACCACCGCTTCTACACCAGCACCTACAGCCATCCCAACAGCAGAGAACCCTAAAGCAAGCAAAAAGGGTGGATAATCATAAGCATCTAGAAACGTCCTGGAAAGTGCGTCGAAATAGCTTTCCCCAGGCATCTGCTGCGTCTTAGCCCAGACAACAAGCGAGAGTAGGCCGGAGCAGCATCCAGTCACAGATGATGAGGGGGTGACACAGACACGGGAGAGAGGACCCTGTAGAATGCCCAGGAGCAGTGGGAGGAAGGATGTGGTGTTGATGAGGTTTATAAGGAGGAAGAGCTGTAGAACGTTGAAGCCTTGTAGCGAGGCAAGCAGCGGCGGTATATTAAGGATGAGAACGAGGGCTCGGATCGACGAGATGCTGAGGCCAGAGGGGTGGTGGGGAGGGGTGGAGTCAGGTTGTGGAACAGCAGGGTCTGGCGATGGTAGGATGGTGGTGACAGCAACCGCAGGTGAGGGCTCTGCTGATTCACTCCCTGCTTTCAGGCTCCCTGGAACCTCCAACTGCGAGTGAGCAGAGTCAGCAGGGCGCATACCCTTGGACTGCACAGGCGGTGCAGCGCCACCCGTCCCACCCTTGCCTGGCAAGCGACTCCTCCCCTCTCTACACCTGAGCGCGGCGACGACACCTGCTATGTCGGAGGAGATGGTGTCCACCATGGCGTTCTGCAGGGAGTCGACGGCGGACTCGCTCATCGTGACTGAGAGCAGCGTGACTGTAACGAGCGCCCAGTTGTGGTGGCGGAAGAGCGAGAAGAGTATGGTGTTGCCGCTGTCGTCCGGGCCTGAGGGCTGGTAGACGCCGCTCCACGCTGCTAAGAGTCCTGTGACGGGGGAAGAGCGTGTGGAGAACGACAAGTGTGGAGGCGTGTGGGGAAGATGGAAGATGGGAGATGGATGACACGAGAGGGAGAGCGAGACGAGAATGCCGTGCCGCTGTCGCCCTGGCCCCAGGGCTGGTAGACGCCGCTCCACGCTGCCAGGAGACCTGCGATGGGGGAAGAAGAGTGGAGAAAGGGCGATAAGGGAGGCAGAGCAATGACGACGTGAGGAAGCGATTGGAAAGGGGTGGTGTTGCCGCTGCCATTGGAGCCGGATGGTCGGGAGGCCTGTGGCGGGGGGAACACGGGATAGAGACGCATGGATGAGGGATGAAGGGAAATCCGTGGCCTTGAGTGCTGCCAGATGCCGCTATCCATCACATCAGCGAACAAGAGAAATGCATGGCATCTGACAGACACCACCAGCAAGACCAACACCAGCAGCACAAAACACCAGAAGCACCAAACACCAGAAGCACCAAACACCAGCAGCACCAAACACCAGCAGCACCAAACACCAGCAGCACCGAACACCAGCAGCACCGAACACCAGCAGCACCAAACACCAGCAGCACCAAACACCAGCAGCACCAAACACCAGCAGCACCAAACACCAGCAGCACCAAAAACCAGCAGCACTAAACACAAACACCAACATCAGCAGCACCATACACGAAGAAGGGAGAATGTGGATGGGGGAGAGCAGAACCGGCGATGAGAGCGGGAGAAGGAGAAGACGACTGCGGTGTGACATCCCTCACACCAACAGCAGCCGCAGCCCTCACCCCTCAACGCAACAGCAACAGCAACAGTAACAGCAACAGCAACAGCAGCCCTCACCTCTGCACACAGCAACCCTCACCTCTGCACACATCAACCCCAACCTCTGCACACAGCAGCAGCAGCACCCCTCCAAACGCACACAAGTGGAACCCTCACTCCTGCACACCAATAGCAGCAAGCAACCCCCACCCCTCACACCAATAGCAGCAAGCAACCCCCACCCCTCACACCAATAGCAGCAAGCAACCCCCACCCCTCACACCAATAGCAGCAAGCACCCCTCACCCCTCACACCAATAGCAGCAAGCAACCCCCACCCCTCACACCAATAGCAGCAAGCAACCCCCACCCCTCACACCAATAGCAGCAAGCAACCCCCACCCCTCACACCAATAGCAGCAAGCACCCCTCACCCCTCACACCAATAGCAGCAAGCAACCCCCACCCCTCACACCAATAGCAGCAAGCAACCCCCACCCCTCACACCAATAGCAGCAAGCAACCCCCACCCCTCACACCAATAGCAGCAAGCAACCCCCACCCCTCACACCAATAGCAGCAAGCAACCCCACCCCTCACACCAATAGCAGCAAGCACCCCTCACACCAATAGCAGCAAGCAACCCCCACCCCTCACACCAATAGCAGCAAGCAACCCCCACCCCTCACACCAATAGCAGCAAGCAACCCCCACCCCTCACACCAATAGCAGCAAGCAACCCCCACCCCTGCACACCAATAGCAGCAAGCAACCCCCACACCTCACACCAATAGCAGCAAGCAACCCCCACCCCTCACACCAATAGCAGCAAGCAACCCCCACCCCTGCACACCAATAGCAGCAAGCAACCCCCACACCTCACACCAATAGCAGCAAGCAACCCCCACCCCTCACACCAATAGCAGCAAGCAACCCCCACCCCTGCACACCAATAGCAGCAAGCAACCCCCACCCCTGCACACCAATAGCAGCAAGCAACAGCCACCCCTGCACACCAATAGCAGCAAGCAACCCCCACCCCTGCACACCAATAGCAGCAAGCAACCCCCACCCCTCACACCAATAGCAGCAAGCAACCCCCACCCCTGCACATCAATAGCAGCAAGCAACCCCCACCCCTGCACACCAATAGCAGCAAGCAACCCCCACCCCTGCACACCAATAGCAGCAAGCAACCCCCACCCCTCACACCAATAGCAGCAAGCAACCCCCACCCCTGCACACCAATAGCAGCAAGCAACCCCCACCCCTCACACCAATAGCAGCAAGCAACCCCCACCCCTTACACCAATAGCAGCAAGCAACCCCCACCCCTGCACACCAATAGCAGCAAGCAACCCCCACCCCTCACACCAATAGCAGCAAGCAACCCCCACCCCTCACACCAATAGCAGCAAGCAACCCCCACCCCTGCACACCAATAGCAGCAAGCAACCCCCACCCCTCACACCAATAGCAGCAAGCAACCCCCACCCCTGCACACCAATAGCAGCAAGCAACCCCCACCCCTCACACCAATAGCAGCAAGCAACCCCCACCCCTCACACCAATAGCAGCAAGCAACCCCCACCCCTCACACCAATAACAACAAGCAACCCCACCCCTCACACCAATAGCAGCAAGCAACCCCACCCCTCACACCAATAGCAGCAAGCAACCCCCACCCCTCACACCAATAGCAGCAAGCAACCCCCACCCCTCACACCAATAGCAGCAAGCAACCCCCACCCCTGCACACCAATAGCAGCAAGTAACCCCCACCCTTCACACCAATAGCAGCAAGCAACCCCCACCCCTCACACCAATAGCAGCAAGCAACCCCCACCCCTCACACCAATAGCAGCAAGCAACCCCCACCCCTCACACCAATAGCAGCAAGCAACCCCCACCCCTCACACCAATAGCAGCAAGCAACCCCCACCCCTGCACACCAATAGCAGCAAGCAACCCCCACCCCTCACACCAATAGCAGCAAGCACCCCTCACCCCTGCACACCAATAGCAGCAAGCAACCCCCACCCCTCACACCAATAGCAGGAAGCAACCCCCACCCCTGCACACCAATAGCAGCAAGCAACCCCCACGCCTCACACCAATAGCAGCAAGCAACCCCCACCCCTGCACACCAATAGCAGCAAGCAACCCCCACCCCTCACACCAATAGCAGCAAGCAACCCCCACCCCTCACACCAATAGCAGCAAGCAACCCCCACCCCTGCACACCAATAGCAGCAAGCAACCCCCACCCCTGCACACCAATAGCAGCAAGCAACCCCCACCCCTGCACACCAATAGCAGCAAGCAACCCCCAGCCCTGCACACCAATAGCAGCAAGCAACCCCCACCCCTCACACCAATAGCAGCAAGCAACCCCCACCCCTGCACATCAATAGCAGCAAGCAACCCCCACCCCTGCACACCAATAGCAGCAAGCAACCCCCACCCCTGCACACCAATAGCAGCAAGCAACCCCCACCCCTCACACCAATAGCAGCAAGCAACCCCCACCCCTGCACACCAATAGCAGCAAGCAACCCCCACCCCTCACACCAATAGCAGCAAGCAACCCCCACCCCTTACACCAATAGCAGCAAGCAACCCCCACCCCTGCACACCAATAGCAGCAAGCAACCCCCACCCCTCACACCAATAGCAGCAAGCAACCCCCACCCCTCACACCAATAGCAGCAAGCAACCCCCACCCCTTCACACCAATAGCAGCAAGCAACCCCCACCCCTCACACCAATAGCAGCAAGCAACCCCCACCCCTGCACACCAATAGCAGCAAGCAACCCCCACCCCTCACACCAATAGCAGCAAGCAACCCCCACCCCTCACACCAATAGCAGCAAGCAACCCCCACCCCTCACACCAATAACAACAAGCAACCCCACCCCTCACACCAATAGCAGCAAGCAACCCCACCCCTCACACCAATAGCAGCAAGCAACCCCCACCCCTCACACCAATAGCAGCAAGCAACCCCCACCCCTCACACCAATAGCAGCAAGCAACCCCCACCCCTGCACACCAATAGCAGCAAGTAACCCCCACCCTTCACACCAATAGCAGCAAGCAACCCCCACCCCTCACACCAATAGCAGCAAGCAACCCCCACCCCTCACACCAATAGCAGCAAGCAACCCCCACCCCTCACACCAATAGCAGCAAGCAACCCCCACCCCTCACACCAATAGCAGCAAGCACCCCTCACCCCTGCACACCAATAGCAGCAAGCAACCCCCACCCCTCACACCAATAGCAGCAAGCAACCCCCACCCCTGCACACCAATAGCAGCAAGCAACCCCCACCCCTGCACACCAATAGCAGCAAGCAACCCCCACCCCTGCACACCAATAGCAGCAAGCAACCCCCACCCCTCACACCAATAGCAGCAAGCAACCCCCACCCCTCACACCAATAGCAGCAAGCAACCCCCACCCCTGCACACCAATAGCAGCAAGCAACCCCCACCCCTCACACCAATAGCAGCAAGCAACCCCCACCCCTGCACACCAATAGCAGCAAGCAACCCCCACCCCTCACACCAATAGCAGCAAGCACCCCTCACCCCTGCACACCAATAGCAGCAAGCAACCCCCACCCCTCACACCAATAGCAGCAAGCAACCCCCCACCCCTCACACCAATAGCAGCAAGCAACCCCCACCCCTCACACCAATAGCAGCAAGCAACCGCCACCCCTCACACCAATTGCAGCAAGCAACCGCCAGGGGGTTGGCGACCAGCGGCATTGTATATCCTGCCGAAGCTTCACAAGAAAGTACCCGTGGGACGACCGATCGCCGCCTCACACTCCTGGGTCACGACTAATGTGAGCCGATGCCTGGATTCTCAACTACAACCGCTAGTACTCAAACAACCGACCTACCTGCGCGACTCCCTCTCTCTGCTAGCGAAGCTGGAAGCTACGGTTTTTCCACCAACTGTACTCCTGGCCACCTACGACGTCACCTCGCTCTACCCAAGCATCTCCATCGATCGAGGGCTCAAAGCAGTTAGTAATTTTCTTCTGAGGGCGGCAACACAGCTCGCTCAACCGCTCATGGCTTTCTTGGGATGGGTCATGAGGAATTCTTTCGTGGAATTCGACGGCAGGATTTTTCATCAAGTACAAGGCACTGCGATGGGAACTCCAGTTGCAGTCTGCTTTGCGGTCCTCTTTATGCGCCGTCTCGACGAGCTGCTTAAGGAGAGGTGGACCGGGATATCACCAAGTTACCACGTCCGTTACATCGACGACGGCCTTATCATTTGGCCAGGCTCGCGGGCTGACCTGGAGGAGTACCTGCGAACTTTCAACGGCTTGGGTCCTTCCATCAGGATCACGTGGAATATCTCGGAGCACTCCGTTGATTTTCTGGATGTTGTCCTTCACAAGGGGCAGCGTTTCAAGGAGTGTGGTCGTCTTGACCTCGGCACTTTTCAGAAGCCGATGAACAGATACCTCTACCTTCCCTTCTCCTCCTTCCACCCCCGGCATTGCAAGGAGGGTTTCATACGCGCCGAACTACAGCGTTACCTACTGCGTTCGACCTCCATGCGCACTTTTCTTGCAACGAAGCAAACTTTCTTCCAGCGGCTTCGCGACCGAGGTTACCCCCCTGCTTTCCTTCAACCGATCTTCAAGGGCGTCCTTTTCGCGCAACGCGCAACACTACTCGCCAACACTCTCGCAAACCAGCAACTTCGACGACATTCTCTCCCCTCATCACGTGGACCCCTAGTTCTGAAGACGACCTACACACCTGTGTCGGCCCATCTCAAACTAGGGGTCGTTTTGAGTCGACTCAAAAATCGACTCATTACACACGGATTATACACTGAGAGAATTTTTGTCGCATGGAAGGCTGGGCGTAACTAACAAAAGTTACTTGTTCGCGCGAGGCTCCCTGAGCACCAGCTGGCGAAATGTGGGTTACCCACGACACGTCCCAAGGAATGAAGATCTGGCACCTTGGAACTTTCCAGGGTGTTTTGGATTGGCTGACCAGATTTCAGTCACGGTTGTTCCAACCTTGAATTTGTTGTTCTTGTAGCGCAGTTTTTGTTTAAGAGCTCGCTTGTAAACTCACTTTTATAATTCCACCAGCACTGATGAAGGTCTGATTTGGGGCCTGTCCCACTCAGCCGAAACTAGTTTGCGTTTTAATCTTCTAGTGGAGTTGAGTTCGGATTTTCAAATTCTCGGTTTTTGAACAGGGGTATCTTTTTACCTTTCACTCTTTTGCTAAAGTTTTTCCTCTCCGCTGCTGCCCACCCTAACGCTTAATGGCTACAATAGCAGCAAGCAACCCCCACCCCTGCACAGCAGCTGAAGCAGCGGCCCTCACCTGCGAATCCGAGCAGTGACACGACTGTGGTGATTGCTGCTGAACCCAGCGCTGCTCCCCACAGCAGCGACGAAGGGCTGGCTGACGCCCAGCAGCTGGGTGTGGGGGATGTGAGAGAGAAGGGGGAAGGGGAGAGAAGTGGCTTGATGACTGCTGCTCCCCACAGCAGCAACAAGGGGCTGGCTGACGCCCAGCAGCTGACGGTAATTGGTGTGGGGGGGGAAGAGGGAGGAGGACAGTACAAGAGATATGAGGCAGCAGGGGGGAGGAAGGGGGCAATTGGATAGATCTTCTGGCGGGGCGATGGGAGAAGGTGGTCCTGAACTCGAAGATCAACGAGGCCCTCACGGCGGACGAATGGCCCCTGGACGACCCAGCGGACCCGCTCCCCGTGGGCGACCTGCTGCACGTTTTAGAGCCGGTGCTGGGGGACCCTTAGGGTGCTCCGGAGCGGGCTGTTACGAGTGAAACAGTATGCGTCGTTGCGTGCCATGCGTGAACTTTGGCGACTTTTGAGTCGACTCAAAAGCCATCTCGTGCCATGCGTGAACTTTTCCTATCTACTGCACGGACCATTTGAGAAGTGTCGCGCGATGGGAGGCCATACTGCAATAGGGGCAACGGCCAATAGGGGCAACGGGCAATTGCTGTCCTTAAATACTGCTGTTGTGAATCGCTTCTGCTTTGTTGCCGTTTTCCCAACACGTATTTTCACCTATCACACATGCATACGCATCTGGCCCCATTGTTGTCCCAATGCTTCGTTGAAAAGGGTGGTTGCCAGCAGGGACAACGGCTTGAAGACAAGCGATGCGAGGCCAAAAGGGGAAAGGGGTCTCTTACGTTGCAACTACAAATATCCTCTTACCGTTGCCACATGGCTTCATTGAAAAGAGTGGTTGCCAAAAGAGAGACTGGCATGAAGACAAACGACGCGAGGCCGAGGGGGTTCGACCAGCCAAGATTGGGCGGCAGCGGAGGGAGGGGCGAGGGGAAGGTGGCGAGCACGAGGGCAGTGAGGAATGCGGTGAAGATAATGCTGGCTAGAGCCTGGTGGAGGGGTGAGGGAAGCATGGAAGGAACAGTGGGAGAGGTCGGGGAGAATGGGATGAGGAGTAAGGGGCGAGCGAGGGGAAGGTTGGGGGGACGAGAGCTGTGAGAGGAGCTGAGAAGTGGAGAGTGGCGAGGGCCAGGTGGGAAAAGGGGGGGGGAGTGGGAGAGAGGCGCAGGGAGAATGGGAAGGAGAGCATGGAGAAAGCAAACAGAGGGGGGGAGAAGGTGTCGAGGAAAAGAGGAGAGCCGTGAGAAGGGCCTGGGTGGGAGGGGCGGGGGAATTGAGGGTGGGGTGGATTGAGGGAGGGGTGGATTGAGGGTGGGGTGGATTGAGGGTGGGGTGGATTGAGGGTGAGGTGGATTGAGGGAGGGGTGGATTGAGGGTGGAATGGATTGAGGGTGGGGTGGATTGAGGGTGGGGTGGATTGAGGGAGGGAGGGAGGAACGGATGGATGGAGGGTGAAGGGGATGGCTGGAGAGGGGAGCCAGGGAAAACGGAGGGAGAATGAGAGGGAAGGGGAAGGGGAAGGGGGTGGGCAAGGGGGGGGGGGGAGAGGAGGAGGGCGAGAGGTGGGGTGGAGAGCACGAGGGGCGGACGGAGAGGCGAAGGTTGAAACCTTGGACCGCCACACTTCTCACGACGCTCACCTGCCATTGGTCGGTGACAATCGAAACATAGAGGCCCCCCGCTGCAGTATAGAGCATGGCGGTGGCGCCTATAAGGAGTACGATGGGCACCCTGGGCGCGCCCAGAACGTGCTGAAAGAGGTCGCCCACTGCGGTATACTCGGCTGTCATGGCGATGGCCATGTTGAGCACCATCAAGAGCGAGATGTAGAGCGAAAAGGCGCTGAAAGATTTGGGGGGGGAGGGGAGGATGGGGAGGTTGGGGGTCCCCCGAAACATGACGTTGAAAACTGTCAGGTGTTTGGCTGTCATGGGTGCGGTGCGGCCATGTTGAGAATTACAAAGAGAGAACACGAGAGACAAGCGGGTGAGGAGGGAGGTGGCGGGCGAGGGGCGGGTGGGAATGGAGGGCGAGGGGCGGGTGGGAATGGAGGGCGAGGGGCGGGTGGGAATGGAGGGCGAGGGGCGGGTGGGAATGGAGGGCGAGGGGCGGGTGGGAATGGAGGGAGAGGGGCGGGTGGGAGGGAGGGATGTGCGCTGTATCCAACGAGCCTCCATGCTCCCACTCACACACTGAATCGCCTTCGCACATAGTCTGCCATGCCATGCCATGGGGACCACATCAGGCAAGCACCAGGGGAGGAGATGCACCCCTCTGCTGACCAGCCATGCAACATCGCTCTGGCTGGCTGCGATGCCTCGCAACTACTGGGGTGCCAAGCCATGCCAAGCCATGCCAAGCCATGCCAAGCCATGCCAAGCCTCGGATCACTCACAGGCGGAACCGCCGCCAGACGTAGTCAGCCATGGACACGACGCCGGACACTAGACAGTGCACCGCGCTGCACTAGACAGTGCACCGCGCTGCACTAGACAGTGCACCGCGCTGCACTAGACAGTGCACCGCGCTGCACTAAGTGCACCGCGCTGCACTAGACAGTGCACCGCGCTGCACTAGACAGTGCACCGCGCTGCACTAAGTGCACCGCGCTGCACTAGACAGTGCACCGCGCTGCACTAGACACCCCTTTGAGTTCCAATGGCCTCAATCTCACGCCCAACCCTCTCCCCACTCACAGGCCGAATCGCCGTCGCACATAGTCTGCCATGGACACCACGTCTGGCACTAAACGGTGCACCGCGCTGCCCAGCCACGCCACGAGCAGCACGGGCAGCCCGGAAAAGATCGAGTAGACGAGTGTGCCCGTGGCCCCCGCAGTGAGGCAGTAGCTGGGCGGGCCGAAGAGAGCCCAGGAACCCATGGCCGAGGCGAAGAAGGACCTGAGAGGGATGCAGTGCGTTGGAGAGTGGTGATAGGTGGTAAGCGGTTCGGAACCAGCAGGAGCGCCTGTGCGCCCCCCTGCCAGGCAGCATCTGCGCGGTCCGAAGAGATCCCAGGAGCCCATGGCCGAGGCGAAGAAGGACCTGCGAGGGGTGGAGAGCAGAGCACAGGGGTGGAGAGCAGTGCACAGGGGTGGAGAGCGGTGAGAGGCGCAAACTGGTAGGAAACAGGCAAGGTCGGTGCTGAGCCCTGTTGAGAGGCAGCAGCTGGGCGGGCCGAAGAGAGGTTAGGCGCCCATGGCTGAGGCGGAGAAGGGCGTGGTGAGATGAAAGGGACGAGCGAAAGAGGGGAGCAGCGGTGCACAGAGGTCAATGCGGTGCGTGTAGCTGGGAATGCACAGGCGATCAGCGCGGCCCAGGGGCGACGGCCCAGCAGCCCACGATGGATGGTGAGGCGAGGACCACTCCTCCACCAAGCCGCAGACCTGGGCGGGCTGATCGGGCTGGGATGGGGCCACTACTAGGTCCGTGCTGGATAGTGCGACGCACCGTGCGATCACAGCGGCCTTGACGTGCGACCCTTGCGACGCACCATGCGACCATGAAGGTCTTGACGGATCGCCGCGCAGTGAGGAAGAAATCGGGCGAGTCGGGCCCTCCTTGCAGCATCTCGCGATACGCCGCATACGCACACGCGCTCAGGCCGAACGCTAGGACCACCGCCACAGCGAGCGTGTACGCGATATAAGACAACGCCTCCATGATGGCTTCTAACGGAACTTCTCGTTGTGAACGTGGTCTTTCTAAGAGAAACACAGGAATAAGCAGTCAGCTTGGGCCTGCGCTGACATCACTCCCGTAGTGCATGCAGTGCATCATCACTCCCCTAGTGCATGCAGTGCATCATCACTCTTAGACACGCTTATCGAGAATGTGTTTACCTAAAACGTCACTGCCGCAAACAGCGCACTCTTGCCTTGCTTATCTCTAGACACGGCACCGTCTCCTCTCGTCCTGTTTTCCTGGAGCCATGGATTCTGTTCTGGGCTCTTGCCCTGGGCACCTGTGTGTCAAAGTGGCCCCAGGGGCTGTGTCAGCGTACCCGCTATCGATCACTCGCTGCAACAACGAAACCCGATCATTCTAGCACAAAAGTGAAAGGCTCGTTACAAGAAAAAGAGACTAAAAAATCATCTTAGGGTTGCGGAGCTTATTTTATATAGATATATTAATTCTGTTTAAATTTATACGCTTAATCTAGTTATAGAAATTCAAAGCGTAAGTATCTAGAACTTCATATAACAATGGATTAAAACATATACCATGTAAGGGCATTCCTACGGGGTCACGTCAGACTCACCTGGCATCAGACTGGGCCGAGGATTCGAACCGCGCCTCAGACTTGCTCACTTCGCGTCAGACTCAACACACATGTTTACAATCGCAAAAGTGTCCTGCGATGCCACGTGCAATACAGCCACTCGCGAACGTCGATTTCTGTTGTAGTGCAATTCATACTTAGCATTTCTGTAAGTCGTTTATCGATAGATAGTGTCGGACCCTACTGTAGAAGATAAGTCCGTAGGATGACGTCAGCAAATAGCGCTCGTCATAGGACAGTAGTTTTCAGTCGAACAGTCGCACCTCTTCATTGTCATTTAGAGCGCACTGCGCGATAGTGTCGAACAGGTACATTAGCGAACAAGTACTTTCCTAGAACTATAAATCCTTGTGATGCCTTTTCATTATTAACTTTGATTACCCACAAGTTCACGTATTCAACCTTGACTATCACGTTTTATAAGACTTCCGCTGTCTTACTAGTCTACCATTCCAGCAAAGATTCTAGGCTAACACTTGAGGTTTTTTCCAAGTGTTCGTGCTTGCAGATTCTATACTTAGTCTCCTGCAACACCTGACAAATTATTACATGGTATGAGAGCTGTCTGGAATTAAGACTACTGTCAACAATGACTGGTTCATCACCAGCACCGTCTACAGGATCTACTTCCGGAACTACTGGAGTACATATCTCCACGACCGCCACTGGTCTCTCAGCCTCTGGACCGTTTCCACCGGCTTATGCGAACATCGGTATGCAGCAGCAGCAGCAGCAGAATCCGCCTTCTGTCAGTACTCCAGGGGCTTCATCGACTGGACCTAAAGCGCAACTACAACAAACACAGTCAACAGCACAACAAGAAGCAACAGCGCAACCACCGTTTTCAACGCAGTCAATATCATCTGCGTTCAGTGGAATGAGTCTTGACGGCTCGAGTTATATGCGTGGAGCCACATCTCCAAGTACTGCTTCGTTTGCTTTCTCACCTTTTTTCTCAGCAGCTGCAGTCACAGCATCAGCAGCATCCTTTTTACATCTTCGGGCGTCCCCCTGCTCAGCAGCAACAACAACAACATCATCAGCCACAGCAATTTCAGCAACAGCAAGAACACTAACAGCATCAGCAGCAACAGCAACAGCCTCAACAACCGGGTATTATTTTTCAACCGCCAAATTTGCTTAACAGTACACAGAATAAGACCACCATACCTTTTAACGGAGTTGATTTTTACTCCTGGAGCTTCGAGTTTGAGCTTCTGGCGTAGTCTGCTGGGCTATGGCCGTTCTTCACCGGCGAGTTTACTTATCCTGTCGTGGGAGCACAACTGGAGCAGCAGAGTTTCTTGCACGCCTCTCTCGGGGCGTATACAGTACTTGTACGGAACCTATCGCCGAAGGAGCAGCTCGGCATCCAATCGTTTCATTCAAGCTTTACGCCAGCTGAAACTGCACGGGACCACTTGAAGGGGGTTTACATGGCAAAAGATACAATAACAGTGAGTAAGATACTTTCACAGTTGACAAGTGTGCAGATGATAACAAATGAGAACGTCATGGATTACGTCAACCGTGTCCGTACACTACGAGATCAACTGGAGAAAAGTGGGGGATACTTTCCTCGTGAGATGTATCTCACGGTCCTTCTTGCTGGCCTTGGACCCGAATGGCGACAGACGCGCGCCTTCCTACGCATGAATCCAAACCTCTCCGAAGCTGAAATTTCGTCGTATCTTCAAGCAGAACAGCAAGATCTCGACCTGCAGTCACAACACAATCAGAAAAAGGGGATGCACTTGAGCTTTTACTCAAATCCAGAATCGCAACAACGACTTCCCCCGAAGTATCCCTTCTGTCATTTCTGTAAGAAACCAGGACACACTTACCAGAATTGTCGCAGTCGACATTTTACAATACTCGGGAGGCTCTTAAAGCTCCACTTTGGGGAGAAATTAGTGGACTTGCAGCTGATGAACCTGACGTCGTTGAAGAAGCTGAAAAGGAAGAAGTCGCCGAGCAACCGCGTCCAACAGTAGCTGTCGCATAACCGTTTCGTTGAAGGGGAGATTGACACATCACCAGCGCTTTCTCCTTTTATCATTTCTTCATTTTATACTAACGCCGATTTCTACCTGCGATCATCAGGACACAAAGCTACAGAAGATATCTGGCATCAGCGGTTAGGACATCCATGGCAAGGGATTCTTAATCATTCAATACGAGCAGCAGTTGATAAAAACAATCTTCTTTTACCTGACGGCACGGAGCTGAAGCCGCAGTCCCGTCCCACGGTTTGCACCACGTGTCCGGTCGCTAATCTCACCCCATGATCCGTTTCCAAGTCACTTTCCTGGCTCCACACGTTACAAACTGATGCAGAAAGTCTACAACGATATTCTCAACTTACCTGAAGCAGGTCCTAAAGACGAGCAGTACGTGATAACATTCATCGAAGCATCTACTCGCTACGTCTGGACAGCAAACCTTCCCGCTCGATATCTTGCCCATTCCGTCTTCGTCGCATGGCTCGCCGTTGCTCTGAGTCTAGCGTAAAACTTCAAGAATTCCAGAGCGATGGTGCAGGGGAGTACACGAGCAACACTTTCATAGAATACCTTCAGACCCTCGGCATCAAACGGAAGCAGTCACTGCCGCATGCACACCAACAGATGGGAGTAGCAGAAAGGATGAATCGGACTCTACACGAGAAGATGCGTGCTTTGCTGACGCAGGCAGCTCTTCCTCCTCGCTTTTGGCCGTATGCGATGGACCATGCCGTGCTGTTACACAACCTTCTTTCTTCAACGCCCCTGCTCGAGTTCTCTTCTCCACACCTGCAGTGGACACGTACAGTGGGAAGTACCAAACTTTTACGAGTTTTCAGGTGTGCCGTGCAGTTTCGTCCTCCAACTGCGGCTCTCGGCAAATTTTCCGATCGAGCAAAATGGGGGGTACACCTCGGCATCGAAAAACAGTATCACGCATGGAAGATTTTGGATCTTCGCTCCAACCAAATCATCCCTTCACGTGATTGTCTCTTCTATGAAAGACTCACCTTGCCCGTTTTTCGTGCCCACCAGGCAGCAGCTTCCAACCCCGCCAGGCTGGTCGAAGGCTCGCGTGCATTTGCAACTGACGAAGCCGAAGCTGATGTACAGGACGAGGCAGTTTCTGAAGCTTCCGAAGCTGCCGCAACTGTCATCCCCGAACCTGTCACCTCGACCGGCATACCGGAATTTATTCCTCTTGCAGATGCTGACCAAGATGATGTTCGCGAAGTCCACCTCAGTTACGAACGCGATCGCCAATAGCAGCCGATGCCCGCCGTCTCCGACAAAGCAGTCAGTGTTACACCTGACGAAATTGGGGGGGAAGAAGGACCAGAAGAAATTTCGCAGATGCAAATGAAGAACGTCCGCGTTTTACAGAAACAGGATTACAGATACTAGGATTCACAGTAGCAGTACAGTACAACGACAGTAAGATACCTGAACCGAAAACCGTTCGACAAGCTCTTACGGGTCCTCACCGAGAAAAATGGCGCGAAGCCATGGACAGAGAGCTAGCAGCTCTCAAGAATCGTGGCACATGGGATTTAATACCGACATCAGAAGTAAAAGAGAAGAAGGTACTTACCGGAAAATGGGTCTTTCGCGTCAAGACTAATGCAGATAGGTCGTTTGAGAAATTCAAGGCGCGATGGGTCGTCCGCGGGTTCGAGCAGACTTACGCCATTGACTACGAGCTGCCTTTTGCTCCCGTCGGTCGACATACGAGCGTTCGAATTTTGCTATGTGTCACCGCCTGTCGTAATCTACGACTTCGACAAATCGACAGGTCAAATGCGTTTCTCTACGCGCCCGTCGACGCACTCATCCTGGTAGAGTACCCGCACTCGTACACCACTAATCCACCGAGCGTTTGCCGTCTCAGAAAATCCCCGTACGACATTAAACAGGCACCACGGCTCTGGCAGCAGCTCCTTCACTCACAGCTTATCACTGCCGGATTCCGTCAGCTACCGCATGACCATGGAATGTATCTTCTAATTGACGGCAGCAACTATATTTTACTCGTCGCCTACGTGAACGACATTCTCTACGTCAGCACTACTGATTCGCTCGCTGATACTTTCATACTGAAACTACAGGAAAATCTACAGCTTGACGTCTCCGAAACAGTCTCGCAGTTTCTTGGTCTAAACATTACTTGTTCACCGATGTCGATTCACCTCACCGCTTCAAAGTACGCAGCAACGCTCGCTGCCCGCTTCAACCTCACTCCTACTGCAGTTTCTACACCGTACCGTTCTCTACCGACTGGCTACAAACTGAATACTGCACTGTTGAGTCCAACTGGTTTACAGACCTATCAACAGCAGTTAGGCTGTTTACTCTTCGCCGCTGTTACTTGCCGTCCAGATCTGGCCTACGTGGCTAGTCAGCTTGCTCAGTTCCTACGCCGCCCTGATGAATAATGTCAGCTCGATCTTCTCCGCGCGCTTCAGTATTTCGTCTCGACTCATGACGTGGGCTTAGTCTACAACGTCATTGGCTGTAAAACTCTATACCTACACGGTTTCGTCAACGCGGATCACACTGCTGACACCACTAATCGACGCTCGCGTACTGGGTTCATCTATCGACTTGAGCCTATCAGGCCTATCTCTTGGAATTCGACGAAGCAGGAACTACTGTAA